TAGAAAAAACTGAAATAAATCAAAACAAAAAAAAATAAGTTAACTTAGAATCTAAATGCGGATACATAGTAAATACGTAGTACATATAATAAAAATCTTGATATATATATATATTTTTATATCATATATAATGAGAAATATATATGTATATATTTATAATAATATCAATCTAATATGTTTCAAAAAAATGATAATATATTTCTAAAAAATTACAATTTAAATTTTGGTTTTATTTAAATTTTAAATTGTATTTATAATATAATACACACACTATAATATAAATTTCTTAATTTTCAATTTTATCTTGAAGAAGAAGGAAAAAAGTTTGAAAGAAAAGAAAGAGAAAAAGAAAAAATGAGAAAAGGAGAAAGAAAAAAATATTATAAAGACTACTACTATATGTACTGTATATGTATACTCTTGCTGAGATTTTTATCATAAAACTATTGATTTGCATCCGCGTTTAGATTCTGATTTGACACTAACTGCTTTTCTTTTTGTGTTGATTAATAATAATCTATGTATTATATGCATTATTGCGAGTTAAAAATCAAGTTTCATTCTGCGAACATATTTCTTTCTTAATAAAAAAAATAAAATTATATATATAATTATGAAGAAAAAAGATTTTTACTCTTTTTTTTATTTGAATTTTGGAAAGATTGTTAGTCTCAGAAATGCTTAATTGCATATAACAATGAAAATTTTCTTAGCCGAGCGTTTCCAAGATTTAACTCATGATTTAAGTATAATTTAGTTTAAGCTGACAGTAGTGAGATTAATTTTGAAGTATTTAAATTATTAATAATATTAAGTAAATTAAGTAAAAACTAGCAACTTTCAATGTGCAAGAGAGCTATAAAAGTACAACATAAAATCAAACTTAATGTTCATAATTAACTCTTCGTACCTAGTCATGCATATGTAATATTTAAGTTTATTTATTTAAAATAATTCTAATCATTTAATATCGAATCACTTTTAAGTCAATTTGTTTTGATCAAAGTATATTAATAAAATGAAGGAAAGTGATTTTAATTTCATTATTTATCAGGGATATGTGCCATATAGGAAAAGAATATATATAATATATATACAATAAGCAACAAATGCAAAATTTTTTTCAAATATATATTTTTTTAAAGCTATAAAATGTCACTAATTAGAATTAGTATCATGACAATAGTCTACACTCAAATTTAATATTTGTTTAAAAAAAAATGATAATTACACATTTTGAAATATTGGTTTAAAAACTAAATTCGAAGTTTCTCAAATATTTGCCAATAATTTCTTTAAATTATACGGTCATCAATTTTTTAATTTAATTTTATGAAAACCATACGTATACATTCCTTTATTATAGAATAAAATTAAAATTACATTTTTTTTAAATCAACGAGAGTAAATTAATTATATGTGTATATACATATATCCTCATGATATCTTTATAATTTATAATTATTTATAGTATATAATTTTTTGTAGAGTAATGTAAAGAGTAATTTTGTAGAGTATCTGCATCTAATTCTTATAATCCCAATTTTTAATATAATTATTTATAGTTTCACGCACATTTACGGTTAATTATTTAGCTTATTAACTAAATAATTAAAAGTAATTCATATTCGATACAGGATATGCAGGCCATTAATAAATGCAATCTTTTATTAAATTCTAAAGTGTGCGATTACATCTTGCGTAACATATATCAATTATTATATTACCCATATTATTCTTACAGTTATATATACATATTTATATCAATGTATAAAAACCGTGGATGCGATGCCATACAAAATTGATGCTAAATAAAAAAATTCTAGTCATTTCCTTAGACAATTAGATAATTCAATGTCTTTGGAAGTATATACTGTACAGTTTTCATATAGTATAATTTCAGTTTAATTATAATAATTTTGCAAATAATCTAGTCAATTTAGTCATTAGCATTCCTTTAAAGAATTTTAATAATTAAGTAAAAGAATCTTAATTTAAAATCTCAAAAATAACAAAAATAATAAGTTTAAGCTAATTATTATAACATAGATAATAAGTATGATATATGTTGGGAAATGTGCCAGTATTTATATTATTTAAAATTGATATTTTTGAAAGTGCAAAAATTTAATAATTAAGATGGAATTCTTTTCTTATCTTAAAAAGAAGAATTTATGAAGTCCTTGAATACAAGTGAATAGAGAGAAACAGTCTGTAAATCTTATGCAAAATATGTATAAAAGTGCCTGTACATTTTTAGTGCATTTAATTTATTTAAAAAAAAATGAAATGTCCTCAAGGGCAGCTATGAGTGTAGACAAGAGTTATATTTAAAAAAGTGAACTAAATATTCTAAATCTCTGTGTTTTCTTAATTATACATGCTGTTATAAATAATATATTGTTTAAACGTTTCTTTGAGGAAGAATCTTTGGTCATTCTTAAACAATACAAAGAATAGGAATATTCATGAATCTCACTGATAATTTTTCTAACATATGCAAATGTAATGTGAACATAAGAAATGAAGAAAAGAGAAGAAATATAAATTAAAACTATCTAATTTTATTTTCTAAATACATAACGTATTGTCAGAACGTAAATAGATTGTCATACAGACGCGATCATTATTTTTATATCTTATAAAATATCTTCTTTTATTAGAAACTAAATAGTAAATAAACAATATTTATTTTTTTCTCTTTTTTTTGTTCAATTTTATTATGCACGCCAAAGTCATTTCAATCATTTGTCACTTTTCTATCCAATTCATTCAGTCTGTTGATTTAACTTTTATATTCAAAATTAGCAATATTGCAATAATAAACAATATTAGCAATAATTATTAGGAAAAATGATAATTTCGTGTTATCATTAAAACATAGTCTACATTATAAAAAATATTCCGAAGTAAATTTCTGTTACATTATATGATTACTATTTTTCAGCGATTTTAGTATTAGATACATAGACCGCACATATTCTCATTAGTTTAAACAGAAAATTAAGCAAAAAAATTAATTTAAAAAATTGTAATTACTTATGCACATATATAAAAGATTTTAATTACATATATAAAAATAATTTTAAAAATTTATCTTTTATTCATAATTAATAATAAACAAAACCAAAGATATAAACTCTAGTCAAATATATTTTAATCTAAAAAAAAAAAAGAATTATTTTTCTAGTCATTATTTCAATTTAGTTAATTATTTAATCTAGTCAATGCTTTTTTCTCTTTTTTTGTCCAATTTTATTATACAGGCCAAAGTCATTTCAATCATTTGTCACTTTTCTATCCAATTCATTCAGTCTGTTGATTTAACTTTTATATATATATATATATATATATATATATATATATATATTCAAAATTAGCAATATTGCAATAATAAACGAAACCAAAGATGCAAATTCTAGTCAAATTTATTTGTAATAAACGAAACCAAAGATGCAAATTCTAGTCAAATTTATTTGTAATAAACGAAACCAAAGATGCAAATTCTAGTCAAATTTATTTTTAATAAACGAAACCAAAGATACAAATTCTAGTCAAAGATATTTTAAATAAACAAAACCAAAGATACAAACTCTAGTCAAATATATTTTTAATAAACAAAACCAAAGATGGAAACTCTAGTCAAATATAATTTTAATAAACAATATAAACTAATATATTTTTAATCTAGGGATGGATTATATTATAACTTTTCTAGTCACATTTTGAGCTATAATCATTTCATTTTAATCAATGTTTGTTTTTTTCTTTTATCCAATTTGATTACTTAGACCAAAGATATTCCCAAAATTACCTACAAATATCTAACAATTTTATTTACATTAAAATTTTCTAAGAAATTTATATATATATATTAATTTTTATATACTATTCATACCAGAATAAAAAGAAAACTGGAGATTTAGAATATCGGTAAAATTAAGAAATAAATATTAGATTTTAAGAGAGTAATTTATATCTAATCATATACAACACTCTTTTTCACAAAGACGTCTTGCAAATAAGTTACACAATCGTATTCGAGTATTATGCTGCTGTGCATATTTTAATACTTTATAACTATGTGTAATATCAGTTTTATTAAATTCTAGTCGCATTCTAATTGAAATAATTTTATTTGTAATTAGACAAAACATAAAATAAAAAATATATTTAATTATAAATTATTGTTTTCGAGTAATTAAAAATCAATCAAACTTAGTATAAACTTCTTTTAATGTTTATAAATGATAGATTTATATCCTATAATAAATTTAATTAAACGTAACATTTTTATAGAGAAAATATAATTTAAATTTTCGTATACACAAGTGGTACAAGAATTAAAATTAATCTCACTAGTCGGCATATATAATCGCAGGTCGATGTAAATAAAATTGAATTCCTTCATTTTATTATATCAAAAAAAATTAGCGAATAATCAGATGCTTAATAGATATGTAATATTATATACGAGTGGCATCTAGTCAAAGAAGCTCTTGGACAACTAACTCGAAAAGTTTTTTTGGGGGGAAAATCAAAATTCCAGAAAATTATACACAGAAATAGTTGGCACACAGATAATTATGCAACTTATTGGACCAACTTATTTTGACTGTTGGACTTTCAAAAGTAAATCATCTAAATATGTCTCTCCATGTTACTATAAATATATTTTTTCTAAAATAATAAAATTTAACTATAAAAGATTCTGAGATATAAATACAAATTCAAGTAAGAACCGGGCTAAATAAGAGCTATTTTGAAACAGAGAAAAATTTTTAAATAAATATATTAGCTAAGGCTCTTATTAACTCATTTCATACTTGAATTTAATGTATTTAATCTAAAATGGCCGCATTAAAATTTATTTTTTGTATAACAAATATATATGATTTTAACTTGTGCAATGGCATTATTAAAAGTATTTAAAAAGTGGTTTTTTGACGCATACTTCAAAATTGAAGAATATACTAATTTATTATAATTTATTTACTCACGTTTTTTACACGGCTGACAATCGATGAGAATACCTCATATGTAAATGATCTCTCGAATCATCTTCCCTCAGTTTACATAGTAGAGTACACGATCTCAGTCCATGAGCAGCAATCTAGTCTGTAACATTTGTAAAATTTAATATTTAATCCATAAAATATAGATCACATAAAAATTTAGTCTGATAATTTGACAAGACAATTAATTAGAATTATTCTTAATAATTATCAAATGTTTCTATTTATTTATTTATTATCTGTTAAAAAAGAAACTTATAAGAGATAATAAATAAATAGATAATAGAGAAAATATGCAAAGTAATAAATAATAAAAAAATTCAACATTTAACCGTCTATGTATCATTTTGCCGTTTCGCATATTTAATTATACATTGCGTATTAATAATTTTTCATTGTAGTCGTTTATTATTCATTTATTATTTTCTCTCTCGCTTTGTGTATTTTTAGTCTATTTTCCATTATATCTTACGTATGCAGTAGGTCATACAGTATTATTCAAATTCTTTATCAATGTCAGATTTATACATATAATAATTAAGTTATCGCATATTATAAATGGATTTTATTAGAATTAAGTATATAACGAGAATTTAATTACAAAGCTTCGTAAGACAAATATGATGGAAAACAGATCAAATATGCAAAGTGACAAATAATAGATGAATAAACAATTATGGGCCAACTTCGATATGCTTATATCATAACATTCTTTAGTTTATTATTATTATTTTATTATTTATTACTTCCACTATTGTAAATTCGAAGAATAATATAATGTCATGTATATAATAATGTGATGTATGTTAACATATATGTATATGTATTTATGCTAAAGCCTTTTTCTCGTAAGAAAGTTTGTCGTGTGAAATATTCATTGCTTTCAGTGCAGCTTAATAATTTTCGTAGAAGTTAAGTACACGTCGTATACGATGCATTTAATCGCTTACTAATTTCAAGTATTTTATTTATTTATTATTTATTTTATTTATTCATTTATATACAAGATGCACGCGCGGATACATATACATATACGTATATAATATATAATAATTATATATAAAATATATATAATTTATATATTTAATTTATTTTTTAGACATTTATTTATTCTCTACTTCATTTATTTATGTATTATTATATGTTTTTACTAATCTATTTATTTAATGCATATTATAAAACATATACGTGTGTGTTGCTTGCGTACTATGTAATTTAATTTCATGTAGAAAATTTAACATCAAAAATATAGAAAACTGTATTTTGTGTGTGTGTGTGTGTGTGTGTGTGTGTGTGTGTGTGTGTGTCGGAGTGTTACAATAATTAGCTCCATTTAAAATATTCAAAGAAAAAGAAAAAATATGTAAACGATATCTTAAATAAAAAACAACATAAACAATCATATATACATATATGTATAATCAAAACTATATTTTAATATAAATTTCCTTTTATATACAATTTATATACAATATTTGAATGATTGGCGTTCGTCTATTTTACTTCGAAAAGAAATAATTGCGACTATTTTATTCTTTTGTATATGCTACCGTTAAAACCATACTATAATAAAATTTGTAATAGCCCAGGAAATATACACATTCATCAGAAATATCATAATTTTATGACCATGACATTATTTCAAAATGTTATCTCGAGTAAATATGGGTATTTATTGTTATATAATTATTTGTACAAATAATTCTCTCTCTACGTTTATAGGAATAAATAAATAATGAATATTCGTTATTCGATAAAATTTTATAGAAATATTTAAGTGAGTAAAAATTCTCCAAACAAGAAAAAAGAGATACTTAATTTAATAGTTTTGCAATTACTTATAATCAATGTTTATTGTATATTCTTTCATATATAAATTCGTATAACTTACCACGTGCGTAAAAGCGATAAATACAAATGTTTTACACCAAATGTTTTGTCGACAATCGAATTTCACAGATTTTGTGCACGACGAATCGTGCGATTTACTTGCATATAAATGTCGTCAATCGATATATTTCAATTATCTCAATATCGACTATTTTAATAAAGTAATAAAGAAAATGCGATCGCGAAATGGAATAATAAGTAAATAAAATAGCGATGCCGCCAAAAATCGTGAGACATATAGGGGGGAGGGGGAAGAAAAGAGAAAAAGAAAAGAAAGAGAAGAGAGAGATAGAAGAAAGTACATCTTTTTCAAGAAAAATGAAAACAAAACTTTCAATTTTAATACATTTCATAAGACAAATATAAAACTAGAATAAATAATTAATCTCATATATATATATATATATATATGTTATGCATTTATCAAAGATAGAAATGAGAGATGTTTCTAAAAAAAATTGCATGTAAAACTTTTTTAAAAACGGTGGTTCTATATACATACTTGCTTATTACAGCAGCATATTTCTTCTGCCGACGACTCGTGATTATTAATTCAACGCTCGTTTCGAATGTACCACCGATGATTATCGATTTTTATCCGCGAAGGACGGATCTATTCCGACAAAATGTCGACTAAATCCGCAATGCAAGGATTTATATCCGCCGACTGTGCGTTGAGGACGCCACATTCCGGTGCCGGGTCGCCATCTTTCGGTCATCGATAGTGCTAGGTATAGAGAGAAAAGTTGTTACTATTTTATACCTTCTCTAGTTTCGCTAGAAACTAGTTTCATTTCGAAGACTCTGATTGGTCTGCCGAACGCTCCAAAGTGAGAAATAAATGGAAAATGTCCAACAAAAGAACAAACTCTAATTTAAAATGGAGTGCATTCCATGTCGCGATATTTGCATAAAATAGATTTTTATCTACATTCACGTTTTACAACTGACGAAAAGATCATTAGAATTGTACGTTAAGCCAAAAATATTTTGAAAATAAAATTATAAATTGTCAATATAACCTGCAATATCTCCACGAGAAGATTTCGTACATAAATATATAATATACGCACAAATTAATGTACATTAATTTTCAATAGATATATAACAATTAAAGATATTTATCTCATGAATAACAATTTAATCAATTCGAATATTAAAAATATTTCGGATAAAAATAATAATGTATACATTATAGAATAATATCAACAACATATCCAACTCGTATTAATTATCATTCACATTCGTACAAAAAATTAATCAAGTTATTGAATTTACGTGACTATTACGTACCTTGAGAAATAAGTCTAACAAAATATCTGTAAATTACAAATCGCTCCTAAATATTATTCGGAGCGAAATCCGAATCGACGGTCTCACGTGCGACTCACGGCAGCCTGCGTACTTGCGCAGAGCAACACTACGCATGACAGCACTGCGCATGGCGGTAGGGAGTGGGGGTACTGCGCACGGCAACACCACAGGTGGCAACACTGCGCATGCGCCGCTCTCGTACGTCGCACTTAACCACAAATTCGACGCCGAACCGGCGGATCGTATCCGCGTGTTTGGCTCAACGATGATCGAAACTGACAAGATGCTGCATCTGACAAGATACGTGACGCTTCTTAGAACTGGTACGAAGTCGCGGATTGCCCGCTCGCATCTGCCTGCGACGTCTTCGTCGTCGTCGCGCAAAATATCGAATCACGCGACACATCAAGGTTATGTTTCCCGGTACGTGCATCACGGCCTGTCGCAGCTGCGACCCTGCGAGAATTACGCGATATGTGTCAGGATGTTAGGCACGACGGTCCCGCAATCGTCGATCGACGACATCGATCACAAATTGATATCGTTGTGCGATGACATTAAGAAGGGCCGAGTGTCGGGGGACAGTTTGAAGAAGGTTGTTAGATTATGCGACGAGAGCGGCTATCAGTTACCTCATGATACCGGTGTGCTGCTACTCAAGTGCTGTGGCAGTCTATCGTCCGACCTGGAGACGACCGAGAGGCAATACTTAGTGGATCAGGTAGAATAAAATTGTTCTGAAGATGCTTTTTCATACACAGCAGTAAATCAGACGCGTGATCAAATTTATAGAGCATATTTCTTTGTTCTCTTATTACTTCGAGATTAAAATTACGATTTTTGCTTTTATATTCTCATAATAATCTACTTTATTCTTAAAATCCATTATTTAACTAATATAATAACAATTAGAATCATAACTAGTTGCATGTTCTACTTTGCCGCCTTTACTGTTCGTTTAATTAAACTTCACCAATAGCAACAAACTGCTGCAGCAGCATGCTGTACATGAAATGATACCTTTAGAATAATAATTCTTTCATCAGCAACATGAAAAATTCTTCAAAAATAAGCGCACAAACATGTAAAATAATAAATAACATTTTAACAGAAAGAGAATAATATAATATAATATATAATATTATATATATAAATAATATTCACAGAAAGAGAATATTATAATATAATATTTACAGAAAGAGAAAGTTCACTATATAATGATTGAATTTTAATGTACAGGTATGGCATCTTGCGAAAAAAACCAAAAAAGAACTGTCGTTGGAGTATTATAATACTTTGCTGAATGTTCATACGGAGAATTCGAGTTCTGTGGATCCTAAGAAGTTCTTGGCAGAGATGAGCGTGGAGCCAGATGAGACTACCTATCATTTGCTACTCAATGCAGTCGCAAAGATGGGCAACACCAATCATCTGCAGGATATCATGTCTATGATAAAAGAGAAGAACGTCACCATCAATGAGGATGCATTCAATGCTTTGGTGCATATCTATGCGACCAATGGCAATATTGCTCAAGCAGAACACATGATGACACTCATGCGGGATGTGAAACTATCTATGGACAAAGCGTATACAGAGCTGGCGTGTGGATATGCGAAACTCGGTGATATTCCAAATCTGGTTAAAATATTGAACGACGAACCACAGAGCGACATGAATGTTCTGAGATTGATCAAGGTTCTGAGTCTGTCCGATAACGGCAGACACATTCCCGTTGTCTTGAACTTTCTAAAGGCTTCTGTGCCAACTATCGAGTCGCAGATCAGTAAGACGATAATAGAATTGATTCGCGTCGATCGAGCTATGGATGCTCATACGATTATAAATTGTTACGCGAGGAATGATACGACAAAGGATGTTGCGAAAAGCTTTGTAAATAAGTTCTTGAACGAATTAGTCATGTTAAATGCATCGGTCGACGACATCACGAGATATGCGACCGATTTCGTGGATTCTGGATGCGAACCGCTGGCGTTGACCAATGTAGTGGAATCTGGCTTGAAGCTAGGCAGAGAAAATTTGTGCCTCGCGATATTCGCAGCGATGAGAGAAAAGAATATAGAGGTACGACCACATTATTATTGGCCTTTATTAGCACAAGCACATTATAATCAGGGGGAAGCAAAGATATTCTCTCTAATAAAGCACATGATAGATACAGGAGTAGGATTTGACCATGATACGCTGCTCAATCATGTGTATCCATATATAAATACCGCAAATGTAAATATTTCTCTGCAAAAATTATTAATTAATGGCGTACCTGGCTCTATTGTGTGTACGTCCCTGATATCCTTTCTACTGTCTCACAATCGGATGGAAGATATAAAATTATTGTGCTCATCCAGTAAGCTATACAGAATACATTACAGAGAACTGATGAAACCTCTAGTGCGTGCTTACATGGCCACAAAGGATATCCAGACCTGTGTATTTTTATTAACAATATTTCCATACAATCAAAATTTCGTCCCTTTATTCTTGAGGACGTTATTGAACGATAAACGTTTTACCATGCAGACTTTGCAATCTTTCTTGGAAGAATTTAATAAACACGGAATCAAAATATCGCAACGAGATGCAACTATTCTCAAGAACAGATTGTTGAACGAAAATTTTAATATTGGAGAAGATGTATACATATTGAAGCAAATAGACAGTCTAGTGGATACTCATCTGATGGAATCGGTGCTCTCGACAATGACCCATCCGAAGTATATGAATACTTCGGAATTAGCTTGTTATCTGATAGAGATGAAGAGCAAAAATCGCGGAACCAGAACCATTCTACGCCGGTTGATGGAGGCGTATTGTAGCGAGAACAACTTGAAGAAAGCCGAGGAAATAAAACAAGAGATTGACGCATGCCAATACGAGTGGACGCCCGGCATGAAAATGTTTCTGTTCGAGCTATACGTCAAACAAAACAAAATGAAGGAGGCTGAGATATTACTATCTGATCTGCAGGCCAACTCTAGGAAGTTTCTGATAGATAACAACAAAATTGTGATGTTCGCCACCGCGTTGGTGAATGCGAATCAACATACGAAAGCCTTTAAAATTATCAATAGGATCAATAATGTTAATACATATACAGACGCGCAGAAGTCCTGTTACCTACTTTTACAAACGTTAGCACATAGTCAGTATTATTCTAACACGAAAGATATGTTGCAGCTGCTCCTCGAGAAGGGATACTGTACTATAACTACCGAGCTGTTGAGGCCACTGGTAGCGATACCATTAGAGCGCAAGGACATCGCGACTGCTATAGACATATTTGCCACATGCGCCAAAAAGCACAACAAAACACCATTAGCAATGGAATTGTTGGTGGCATTGTTGCAGCTGAAAGACAGATCAAAAATGCATAACGCGGACATGTATATAAAAATGATATACGATATATTGTGTAATATACGCAACATAGATGTTGCAAACACAACGCTAATGTTAGCGTTGGCTACATTAGACAAGACGAAGGAAATGCAAAATTTATTGCAGGTAATTGAAACCCTTTCCTAATTACAGTACATTTGCTTTATATTTCTCTGATTTAGGATAACTTACGAAATTGATCAAATTTTTAAAAAATATATAATACAATAAAAGACAGATTATATATATATAGAAATTTTTATAATTTGTATATAATCTATAAGAAGGTATTTTGAAATAATTGATTCTTGTGAATAATTTTTTTTGAAATTTTTAAAACTCGATCTCAATTTCCTGGATTTATACTATATATTCTAATTGACATTTTTCTCATTATGTTTTTCTATTGCAGAAGCAACTATTTTCTATGAATAACCTTTTGTCTTATTACAATTATGCACGAAGAAACAATAATGTAGATAACTTATTGAAGATCTTCAAAGCAATTCCAGACTCAAGTAAGATAGACCAGACTATCTTAAGTGAAATGATCCTTTCTATTTACAGTAAGCATATTTTTACTTTCTAAAATGTGCATATGAGCTTGTTATGATATTGATAATATTTACATTTACAGATAAAACAGGAAATTGCAATGACGCAATAGCGTTTTGGAAACTAATGTGTGAAAAGGATATTGAGCCCAGTGAAAAATTCAAGAAAAACTTTATTCAGTTTCTACAGGCAAATAAAGTTCCACTTCCTCCAGAGTTTGAACAGGATAAGAATAAAATAAACGTTAGTAATCTTTAAATTAGAACTAATACATGTGAAATAACGATAATCCAAAGATAAATAAAACATAATAAGAAAGGTGGACGATAGGAATTCTTAAATAACAATATCACAATAAAAAGTACAATGACAAGGTAATAAAATCTATAATTCTGAGAATTTCTATCGTTTTCTTGTTACTGTTAGTTGTTTTATTATTGTTTTCGAGTAAAGCTTTTATTATCTCAAGAGAGAATAAAATCATCGTTTAATAAAGAGATTTTAAATTCTCTTGAAGTGTCGTACTATAATTATTAATTAGTTTAAAGGCTTTTTCTTTAAGCGGTTCGTAATTGACGCGCTCCTTTTCCTTTGTTATGAATTCTCCGATTGTTGTTTTGTCTTCTTTCAATTTATCTAATTTTTCTTCCAGGCTACTGATCTCTGGATAAATCGGATATTTTTCCAATCGCTCTTTAAGCTTATCATATTCTGTTTGTAATGATTTAAGTTTATTCTCGCAAACTGTTTCCTCGGTCACAAGTCCTTCGCGTTCCGTGATTAATTCATCTCGCTCGTGGTCATTTCGCGTTTTCAAGCCATCCAAATCCTCCAGAACAATCAATTCACTCTGTTGTTTTTTCAGTTTTTCTTTCAACTGTTTGGACTCCACCTGCAATTTCTCCTCCAGGATTCTCAGCCTATTGAATGTTTGTTGCATGGTCGCGTAATCCTTCTTCAACTCTTCAAAGTCATCGTCACGATGTGCGATCTCGTAATCCTTGTACAAGAACTTGTCGCGTAAAACGGCCACCTCTTCAGCTTCCGTGAGATATTCATTGTTCTCTATCGAATTTGTCACGGCCTCTAACTTGTCGACAATCTCTCTTTCGAGCTTCTCCAGTTTCTCCATTTCCTCCTGCTTGTTTTGCTCATACGTAGACATAAATTCCTCCATCATTTCCTCACGCTTACACAATTCCTGATACTTGGTCTGTTTCTCCGAATTATTGTCCTCCATGTCAGTCTCTAATTGTTCTAGATGCTGTTCCAGTTCCGTCAATTTCTTCTCCTTCTCCGCTATTTGCGCCTCCGTCGCGGCGATGTCGTTATTGTCGCGCTTGATCTTCTGCAAAAGCTGCTCCTTCTCATCCTCTGGTGACAATCTCTTGGATTCTTCCTCCCGCAGCTTGTCTCGCTTCTCTTCCGCTTCAATGATCCTCACCTGCAACTTCACTGCTTCTTGCTTCATCTGGGACAGAGCTATCTGCTCTTCCAATTGCATTTGTTCCTTCGACAACTGATCCAACTCGCGCTGCATCTGCTGCGCTTGCTCCTGCAATTCCGTCTTCTGCCGGAACAGATTGTCATATTTCTCTCTCGTATGCGGATCCATATCCTCGATGATTTGTTCCGTTCTTGTCTTCTCGTTCTCAATATCCTTTTCCATCTTGTGAAGTTTCTGTCCCATCTCCTTCCGTTGCTCGAACATCCTCTCGACCTCCGCTGTTTTATGCTCGTTCATCAACGCCAACTCCTTGGCTTCCTCCTCGACCACTTCCTCATCCACATCTAGGGTCATCTTATCCACCACAAGATTGTAGTCCGCTAATTCGGTCTGCAGATTCGTCAGTTCTGCAGCCAAACTCTTGGCCCTCTTGTCATAATGTAGAAATGTGGCCTTCTCCTTATTTTGCACCTCGATATCCTTCATTATCCTCCCGATTTCCTGCGTCAATTCTCGTATCTTCAGTTGTAACAGGCCCTCGTAATATCTCTTATCTTGAATTTGTCTGCAAACAAATATTTCAAATGATAATTCTTCCGAAAATATAATAATAATTATTATTATAGAGGAGACAATATAAAACAGGAGATTTATAACATTTCTTTCCTGAAAAGAGATTCAAAGTATTTATAATTTCTGCTTTTTCATTAGGATTATTATTAAGCCTTTGATGATGCCTTGTTATCAAGACGATGTTTACCTTGTCATCGGTAAACCCCTGGTGGTACCCGGTCGCATGCCTGCTATTCCGTGCTGCGTAATCGGCCTGTCGACCATGACATTGAATTGTTTGGCAGTCGCGATTCCGGTGCCAGAACGATTCAGTCCGGAGCTCATCCTGGTGATGCCTGCAGTTGGTGCACGATTGGATACAAAGGACGCCGATGGCGGTCTCGCCAGGGCGAGACGTCCGGGCGTCGCCGAGCGAAAGGTGGCAGAGTTGACGTACTCCGAAGATTCATCCTTGTGTCCTCGACGTGACCTCGGTCGCTCGTACTTGCTCTGAGGTCTCACAATACCTGTCGGCGGTCTTTCGATCTTATTCGACGAGTTGACGACGGGTGCATCCTCCGGATGCTCGCGTCGCCAGCGGGTAATCTGCCGTTCGCCGATCCTACCGGAACTGGAACTGTTCCTCTCGGCGTCCATATCTTGAAAATTTGATGGAACGTCAGAAATTGGTTGAAGTTGAATATTAGTTGAGGGATTTTAATTGTTTATATTCGAGAAGAAGAGTACAAGTGACAGAAATCAGCTGTTCACTTGATGGCTAGGTATTACTAGAATAATGTTTTGCACATTGTAGCCATAGAAACTGATCTCTGTGTGAGTTTGAGTAGTATATAATGTTTGTGAAAGATACAGTAATTCCTGGCTCACATTTTGATTATAAAAAAATAATGAGAAAAGAACTTTGTAGAGTAGAATTATGAAGCAAATTATATTATACATATATGAAATAATTATGTTTATTAATAATGCAAATTCAAGAAATTGAATAATATACATATATTATACTATATTTTATAATAATGATTAGTCATAGTACATATATGCATATATAATATTTTAATATCAATAGTTTTTAATCAAAGAACATGTATTTTTTCCAAAGCAAAATCTTTTTCTTAATTTTTAGATGGATAATTTCTACATTAAATTTTTAAATACTTGTTTTTGCATATCTATAATTTTATCTAATTCAGAATGTAATTGTGTAAACAATAATCGCAGGATAATATTGAACATATATTTGCATAAAATTGTTTCATCAAGATCTTTAAACAGATGACAGTGTCATGCTCTAATATATATTTCAATATATTTCATTATTTAACTTAATTTATTTTCAAACAACTCAACCATATATGCATATATATATATATTATTTTTTGCTTATAAAATTAAATCTATTTTTATTTCCATGTTATATCAACAAATACTTCTTTACCTCTCAAGTTACATTAATTTTCTAATTAGTTTCATTTTTTCCCGCCAGATGGCGCTAGAAGTACCGTCGGCGTTGGAGCGCGGCAATTATTTAACGGTTGCCAGGCAACGAGCCACCGAGAAACGTGTTCAGACGTGTTGAGACGCGAGTCGCGTCGTCGCGGGTGAAACGCGGCGATGGTGTTCAGGCTTGATCGGCGCGGCGGTTGAATTTAATACGCGTTCCTCGTCCAAGAATATCCACGCCGCGCGGCGCGGCCTCGAGGGCCTCGTGAGTCGGGGCTACCAGTCAGTCAGAGTCAGCCGGCACTTCGCGACGAGTGGCCGTCTAAGTAGCGGCGCGCTCCCGGCTAACTTCAGTCAGACGGATCGGATCGGAGGACACGGCCGCCAGCAATCATCAGTTCTCCCCTCTCGACCATTCGTTCGCGCATCGACGCGCGCACGCACGCGAGTAAACGCGAGTGCACGCGAGTGCGGGAGTGCGCGATCGACTCCTCGTGTAGAGCATCGTCGTAACATCGAACCGGTTTCAACAGGACCAGGACACCTCGTGCTCTCTCTCTCTCAGAGAGAGAGAGAGAGAGAGAGACTCGAATGCTCTGAAGTGCGGCGAGTGTCGCGCTCGCGCGCGTGCGAGTCTACCTTCACGTCTCTCGGCTGTTTTATATCGTTCGCGCCGCGATAGAACGCGCAACCGGCGCGCGTTTCTCGTGCACATATCTACGTGCAAGTATATACATCGCGCGTTTGTGTGAGTAGTGCGTGTGAGTGCGTGCAGCGAGGCGCATCCTTCCTCCCGTCCCCTCGCGCCCCGAGGAAGAGCTGGGAATCAAGGTCCGCACATCGTCGTCGAGGGATCATGGACGAGGACGAGATCGACGGCGTCAAGTCACCCATCAAGCGGCTCGGCTCCACGCGGAAGCTGCTAGTCTTCAACAGTGAGTTATTTTTTTTTTCTCTTCTTTTTAGTCTTCTTTTCGCTTTTATTAGAGAATTTATTAGGGATTCCCCCCATGAGGGAAGTGCCGCGCTGTTTAATATCGGTAGACGGATCCATGCGTACGAAATATATTCCGTTTCGTACCAAAGTTTTTGTGTGTGTGTGTGCGAGACGCTCTCCTAAAATATACATTTTCCGATAATCGATTATTTTAAACATACCGCGTCAAAGCGATACGATGCTTTCTCTGCAATGTTACAATCTTTATCAGAGACGTTTGCAAATTTTGTCAGTCGCTATTCACGTAGAAAATTGAGAAACTCGTATGAGATTATTTTATGATATGTGACGTTATAAAAAGATTCTATATTTTTACCAGATTTGATACTTTGAGAATCATATTACGTTATTCCCGTGAAAAAAGGATCAATTTATTTTATATTTTCCAAGTTTAACGTACACAAAGCTGCGAACATGTTTTTCCAATTTTTCCATAAAATCGTCTAAAAATCAGTAATATAAATCGACATTTGACATTCAACCTTTTGCATATCTTTAATTCCATTGTATTTTTGAATTTAATTTAGAGAACATGATCGAAATATCTATTTTAAAAAATATATATTTTTAGAGATAAAAGAGAGACGAGAATGTGTTCTATATAAATATTAGTGTTTTCTGGATATATATATATATATATATATATGTAAAAATTGAAAAATAAATTGTATAAAATAAAATTATACATATATAAAATAAAATACAAAAATAGGATACTTTTTTTTATTTTACTAAACGAGGATGTATTATTCAACAATTAATCTTTATAAAGGATCTCGATAAGTCTCGGAAAAAATAACACACAAGTATCTTCCTTCATTCTTACAATTAATTTTCGCGGATTTTCGCTGTAGCGGTTTTTTTTTCTCGCATGATCCCTCAAAGTCGGGAAATAACGTATCGTCTAGACAGCGGCTTCAGTGGCGAAGTTTCGAGTTTCGCGGACCGATAACGTATTTCCAATTAGCTTAACTTTCAAGCGCGAATAATGAATCGCGAATTATGAGCAAACCTATTTCGATGTGTCATTGAGCTTGCGCGATAATCTTTGCGCGAAGATTAATGAGCGCGATTTCGACTGAGCGAACAGGTGGGATTTATTTGCCGTTTCGCGATACGCAAAATGGCACGTTACCAATTTCGCGTAACGCGAAGAGAAAATAAAGCAACTTCGTGTTTTCGCGGACGGAAAATACGCGCCGGCTTACGTAAAGCTCGAGAACACGTAAATATGTCATTCTGTCCGAAAAAGCTACAGGCGGAAATCAAACAAAAACGCCGTGCTTCTCGAATTTTATATATCTTGAGAAACGAATCAAACTCGTAAAGAAAAAAAATATTCAAATTTGTAATCTAATTATTTGATCATATATTATTTATTGTTACACATTATTTCTGATATTTAAATTTTTTAATATTTAAATTTAATTATATTACTCATAGTTATTTTTATTAAGACTCCAACAAATATATTTTTAATTAAAATAACGTGACAAGAAATGAATAGAGAGAAAAAATTAGAATTTTGAATGGGAAGCGATTCAATTAAAATTACGCGACGTATATATCTTATCTTTTTTAATGACGTAAAACTATTGTACAAAAACGTCAACATTTTAGAAAATTTATTTACTTATAAATTAAAAATATACGATGTGGCGAACAGAAATCGTAGGAAATCTTATATTTCCTTCGGGCGTGAAAGAGATGTGATAAAAAGCGAATGTTGCTCAGTGTTTAAAATGCGGATAAACTCGCGTGCGAGATAAAAATTGGCGTTCGAGAGGAACGACGAATTCCACTTGAGAGATGCTTATAGCTGTAGTAGAAACTAGACGTCCGGTCGATTTGCAAATAAACACATCGTTCCGCATGAGAAGAGGAGAAACGCGTCGTACTCGAAACGAAGCCGCGATCTTCGCTCGAAAGACGTATATAAAGGTAATTTCTTATCTTGCGAAGGGATTTTTTTCGTGACTTTTGCATTTTGCTAACATCCGTTAATTTCACGTACCTATATATACGCGCTATTCAGTCCCGGATATTCTTTCGCGAAACCAGATTGAAAGTTTCATTAATCTTTAATGTTTTCTTAATCTTCAGTATTGTCTTAAATGATTCAGGATAATCATTCTCGCATAAATATGCATTACTTTCTTTTTATTTGAATCTGCTACTATTAGCATATAATATATTTTATTTTAATAAAACATGTCATCTTCTCTCCTTATTTATAAATTAAATAGAAATATGTATATATTTTTTTTTACTTTTCCATCCGCGTTGGAATTTGAACACACACTTAAGATAATTATTTTTATTAATCATATCCCTCTCCCCTGAAATTTCGCAGTTTATACTTTATCTGAATCATAAAACAATAGTATTTTCCATGGAAGATTACTGTTGTGGTTCTTCTATTTTTATGACATCATAAGATTCATTATTGTTGAGTCATTGTTCAACAATCGCACTTTGTCGGTATATTCTCTGCATATTTTGACGGAATACCTAATCAAACGGAAGAGCGAGAGAGAGTCGGCGCGTGCTATTCTCCAAAATAATTCGCGTTCCTTTCGTCGAGTCGAGAAGGAATTATGCGTTTAGTATCGAGAGAGAACGCGCCGTCATTGTGGAATACAGTGAGAGGCGATCAAGTGCAAACAATTGCACCATCATTGGAATGCCGGTGCATACGAGAGACTGCAACGTGCAACAGGCACTCCTAGATCGCTCTCAGATCACACGTTGAATCAAACTCGACGATTGCGCGGTATTTGCGGTCGCATCATAACATTTGATCATCATTTAAATAAATCTTAATTTAAATTTATTAATAAACAAACAAACATGAGTTTTTCATCCGAAAATGTTTTAATATTTTTTTTCATATTATACACTGAAAAAAATTATTAAATTAATAAATATTTATTTTAATACTGCTTAATAAATAATTTATTTGAAACAAATATTTATTTGTTTTGAAAAGGATTTTCTTATATTAAATAAATATTTTCCCGAGTATTTTTTACATCAAATCAATATTATTAGTTTCAAATAAATGATTTATTTGAAATAAATATTTATTCGAATACAATACATTTTTTTCAGTGTACAAACGCATATACAAACAGATTAAAGATTATAAGTAATAAATTGTGAGATTTTATTTTACAATTTTGCATTAATTTTTTGCTTTAACGAAGAAAAGAGTTTGCACTTATTATAATTACATATATTTAATGCTGGAAATTAAAAATTTACAAAAGATGTTCGGTGAATATCATTTTGTACATTGTGACAGAATTTTTTTAATCTTTCGTAATCGTTGTTAG